CCTCCCCTTATGCTTTTCAACCATTCCTCCTTGACTTAATCTTTTAATTGTTTTAATAATGTTTTAATATCGTTTTAATTTTGTTTTGATGACTGTTTACCGTATCGGTAATAATTGCCCATATCGAATCCTGGTATGCCTTCTAGTTCTCTCAGAATCGCTTCGCTGTCTAGGTTGAATAAGTCCGGTGAGAAGACACATCTTTGTCTTACACTCCTTTCTATTTTGTGTATTTGATGAACTCATTTTCTGTCCGTATCCAGGCGATTTGCTGCCAGTATAGATTCATGATTATTCTAATATCTTCCCCGAATATGTGACGGTATAAACCTGTAATCTTGCCCTCAATCTTTGAGAATCCTTCCTTGTGTAGTATATTGCTGCTGAACTCAAATGAGGCGACGAACACACGCACACACACACACACACACACACACACATATATATATATATATATATATATATATATCGTTATTGTTCGCGTTGTGGTAAATGGGTAGAGTGAGGGAGAATCACAGAGGTTAGGATTGCGCACACAGAATTTGAAGTCTTCGGTGAATATCTAGTCAACCTCTCTCCAGATCAAGAATCGGACCGCTTAAATAATATTCGGACACATACGCAACTTCACGTGGCTACACCTTCTTCCGGTATGTTACCTACGCAACTTCGTGTGGCCACCCCTCTTCCGGCATGCGCTCACGCAAGGACGCATTTCCTCCCGCTCAAGAAACCTGTGCGCCCTGTTTATTCTAGGCTCAGGATACCTCTGCGTCCTGTTTATTTTAGCCAACGGATACACTTCCTGTTTATGCTATCACCAGTTCCGATTTCCACTGATGCAGCGGAAGTAAGGCCAACGGTCTATCCTCAACCGATATCCAACACTCGTTATGTGTCTCAGATATTTCAACTGTCATTTCCTGGTGTTAACCCTAGAACACTAACCATGGGTATATAGTACCCAGCGCAAATTTTTTTATCTTTAATTACAATTATCAGTACCTGATTTTCTTACCTAAATAATATGTTTTTCAGTTCCTATTAATGTTAACTCAAAGTACAAAGTTTGAAATGCCTGCATGTAAAATATTTCAAATAAAGATTTATATTTAATATTTTTTTTTTTGATATTTTCAAAATCGGGTATGATATACCCATGGTTAGTAGTGATGTAACTTTAATTGATGGTTAGTGTTCTAGGCTTCTATAAATGCCCTTTCTCTTTCGGTTTTTCTAAAACTTCGTCGTTGCTTACATGTTCGGTTCATAATATTCTTCGTAAGAATGAATAGAAACCAAAAAATTTTCAATAAACGTTTATTTTCTTCTTGAAATCTTGTGGCCCGCGAACCACAGTTTGCCGATGACTGGCCTTCAATAACGGAAAGAATCTGTATTTTTTAGTAAAGCATAATGTTGTGGATTCTGGGATGAAATCCGGTCTCAAATGAATGACAAACGCAGGAATGAAATATAGCAAATAAATAAATTGACGTAATAATACAATTGGTAATACGGTTAGTAGATCCAGAAATGCGGTTAGTAGCAAAAATAATATATATACAGTCTGGGAAATTCAGTATCGAAGTATGACTTCCTTCTGAGTCTACGTGCTCGCAACTGTGACTCCTACAAAGCGGTTACCTCACACTCTCACTCTCTCACTCTATCACATCCGGTTATTCACCAGCAGCAGTACAAGTACACACCGGGCGAGTCCACTTGTATAAAAGACCCCTTAACACATAACTTGTCTGAAAATAATACTCAAAAGTTAAAACTTAGTTAAATCTATTTACACTAGTTGGACTATTGTGCCCGTCTTTATTGCCGCATTCACGACGTTTCGGTCGTTGTACGCTACGGCCTTCTTCAGGTGATGGGAATTTCGAACTGAACCCTTTATTTCGCCCACCGGGATAGATTGTTTTAGCTCCACGCCTCAGTTATCGCCCTTTAACACGACTCTTCAAGTTTTTGCTCTCCACTGTAATAGCCAGATATTGAACTCACAACTTAGTTCAAGTCAACGGAACCTCCCCACGTTTTTAACCACGGGACCATGTGTCCTTGTATAAATTTTTGGGGCTTATAAACTTAATGTCTCAAGAGCCATTTTTTACCAGAGCTCATAGTGCAATTTTTTTTGTTATTATTTTTCTCTAGCACTCCGTATTCCTGGCTCCTATATTGTATTCATTTTTATGCTTGGTCGGCTCAGGAGATTTTTGTGACGTAACATCTGCGCCGATTCCGAAACATCGTAACTATTGCAACAAAGGTGAGGACAACAATCCGAACAATGTAAATAATATAAATAATTACAATACCTCATCTCAGAAATATAGACATATATCAGTTAAATCTAAATTTAAAAAAAAAATAGGAATTCATAACTGCTTTAAAAAATTCTTCTTGTTCTCAGTGATTAATACATTGTGTCACACTTGACTTGTTTCAAAAAATATATGTTAAAAATTGAATAGTTGGTTAATCCTGTGGTTCTCCACAATTAAAGCCTTGAGCCAAACTTGACTAATTTCAACAAATAGGTGTAGCATCTGATTAATGAAGTAACAAAAAATGGAAAAATGTGACAGATAAATTCAAAGACGTTCCAGAAAATAAACAAAGTATTAAAAGATAATTGCTATTATATTTCTAATCTTCTGTGAACTGAAAATGAGTTCAGCAGATATACAAAAATAGAAAGGGGTGTAAGACAAGGAGGTGTCTTCTCGCCGGATTTATTCGACCTATACAGCGAGGCAGTTCTGAGAGAATTAGAAGTCCTACCAGGTTTCATTATTGGTGACCACACTGACACAGTGCTGAAAGCAGACACGGAAAGGAAACTACAAAATCTCCCGCAGAAGTTATCGAAGGAAAGCAAGAAGAAAGGAATAAGCATAAGTTACAAGAAGACGGAATGAATAGTTATCAACAAAAGGACGAGCTCTAAATGCAAATTACAGGTCAAGGATACTAAAATGAAGCAGTTACAGAAATTTAAATATCTGGGAAGTGTTCTAACAGAGGACGGAAACTGCGACACTGAGATCCAAAGAAGTATTGGAATAGCCAAAGATTACTTCCAAAAGCTAAGCGGAATATTAAGAGACAGAAAAATTTTCATTGGAAAGAAAAAAAACTACTGTTACGCGATATCTTTCCTCCTGTATGGCAGCAAATGCTGGACAATCCCCTCAAAGATGAAGAAGAGATTTGAAACAACAGAAATATGGTTCTACAGAAAGATGCTGAGGATACCATGTGCCGAATATGTGAGCAATAAGGAGTTTTTGAAGAGAATAGAAACAAAAGGGAAATTTATACTTAAGACCAGAAAGAAACAATTGAAATTTGTGGGGCACGTATTGAGGAAGGTGGGCTTGGAAAATCAGATACTCACAGGACAGATTGACGGACATACAGACAGAGGAAAGCAGTGCGTAACGTATTTGTTTGGCTTGAGCAAATGAGTGGCAGAACATGGTTTGGGATAAATAACAAAACAACAAAACTTATTAAGAGCTACAAGGGACAGGAAGCTGTGGAGGGCCATATCTGCCTACATCCTGAAGGGACATGGTACATAAAAGAAAGAAAGAAGAAAATTAAGAAAATGTCATTAGAAAGAAAGAGTGTTGAACTGATGTGTAATAGCTAATTTCCTATATAGCAGTGAATGTCGGAAAATCTCTATATGCCTTTCATAAACTAAGTATTAAGAGATAGGAAAATGTAATTCGAAAGAAATAAAAGAATGTTAAACTTATATATAATAGCTAATCTCCTAGGAGGAGGCACGGTAGAGTAATGGGTAATGATAGTGGCTCAGATTGAGGAATCGGAGAGCGGAGTTCGAATTCCAATCGAATCCATTATATTCACTTACGTGCTAATACCCTTGAGAAAGGTATGAATCCTTTTCTTCTCCCCCAGCTATGGGTAAATAGCAGGACAAACCGGGTTCTATGGTTGTCAGGCTTAGGAGATTTTTGTGGCATAACATATGCGCTGATTCTGAAACGTCGTAAATATGGCAACAAATGTGTGTACAACAGTCCGAACAATGTAAATAATATAATTAATTACAATACCTCATCTCTGAAATATAGACAGATATCAGTTAAATTTAAATTTTAAAAAAATGAATTCATAACTGCTTTAAAAAATTGTCTTGGATGGCAACTGGTCTACCGCAGAAAGAATTGGCAACCTACTGCCTCGTTAGTCATGTATCGAAAGATACATGATCGCCTAAGTGTGTATCACGCACGGCACATAACTAACTGAATCCCGTATATGGCAGTGTATCTTCTGTAGAACAATGAATGTTCGACAATTTTTTTCACAGACGGAGAGAAAAAGACCTAACGCAACTGATGCTGTGAATACCTTAGCCGGAACATGTCAGCAATGGGGAAGTTCTAAAGAAAATAGGGACAAAAATACTTAAAATTAAAAATGACAGCGTTCAAATTTCTGGGACATATAATAAAGAAAAGGGTTTAGGGAATGTAATACTTATCCTCACATGACATGCTGAAGGCATTGATTTGTTTTTTACAGTTTATCAACCTTTTATGGGTTATTTAAAGACTAAACATATTCTGGATTCGCAGAATAATTCTTCTTTTTATTTCTCGAGTGAATATTGCATTAAAATTTTTAGAGTGAATAAATTAATAACTATTTGAGAATAACAATGGCTATTCCAGATGCAAGTCCTACTTCTTAATCCATACTTGGGGGAACGAGATGGATTCGTGCCGTTCTCAAGGGTTTTTACGCATATGTGAATGTAACAAACCCGACAGGAATTTGAACGTGGCTCTCCGATTAACAATTACGAGCTGTTATCAATTACACCACCCGCACACTGAAGAGAACTAGAGTAATAAAAAAAAAAGCGAGGAATCTATGTTACTAGTTTGTGTGTACGGAGAAAATAGATAAATTGGAATGGTAAAAATCAAGCATCGCCAAGAGTTATGAGAGACGGGGATTTGTGGGGTGTCATGTCTGACCACGCCCTGAAGGCTCTTGGTAGTTAAAAAAAATGCAATCGCTCAGTTAAGGTTTACCCAATCATACCGTTAGAAATCGACAAGATTTGACTGATTTACTGTGATATTGCTAGCCTTAAGCATATCCTGACTGGTTGTGTATAATCTAGAAAAAATTACCTGTTAATACAACTAAATGGTAGCAAAACTTACTGAGGCTGCGAAGAGATGCCATGAAAAAAGTAAATTTTCCGTTACCATGAAAATTTTCGTAAAGGAGGGAAGCATGCCCTGAGAGGTATTAGGTTATTCCGAAAATAATGGCCGCTGTTAGAATCAAAATTATTCCTGATTTAATGTATTTAAACAGCGTTTAAATTGGTCAAAATAGCAACCCTGAGATGATCTAATATTGTCGAAATGCTGACAGCCATTATATCAGACACTTTGACGTGGGTTTTGTTCAACTAGTGTTTTCCGGTGTTGACTGCCAATTGCAGATGGGCGTCCTCTACCACCTTGATCTTCAGGACTCGTATCCCCACTGAGGAACTTCAGAAACCAGCGCCGTACTGTCCGATCAAAAGTGGCTCCTTCATCCATGTTAATGTTGACATCAGTTTGAGAAGCATTGATCTCAAAAGTAAACACATCTTTTCTTTTTTTTTATGTTCAAGGTAAGAGTTATATAATTGTTTTTAATTTTTTAATTAATTCACCTCAAGCAAGGTGATAATGCCACTAGATGCAAGGAGCTACAGTGAGTAAAAGAGAATGAGAATACTTTCGAAGGAAACGGAAACCTAATCCTAAACAAGAAACGATGGCTACCCCTCTACTACTGTTAAAATGTCTGGGGAGGAGTGTGAACCGGACGATAGGCAATCCTATCTACTTCTATTCAATTTTATATTAAATTCTGAAAGAGAATGATATAAAACGAATATAGAGGACACTTTAATCATTAAGAATGAGTAATATATTTCAGTACACCTATCACAATAATATATTAGAACAGAATTAAAAGGTTTATTCTAAAATCGGATATTATTTTTCGAACAGCCTAATATATTACAGCCTAATTAAAATGTTTATTCTACAATCGGACATTATTTTGCGAGCAACTGAATATATTACAACCTAATTGAAAGATTTATTCTAAAATCGGAGATTATTTTTCAAACAACCTATTATATTACAACCTAATTGAAAAGTTAATTCTAAAATCGGATTTTATTTTACGAACAACCTAATATGTTACAATCTAATTAAAATGTTTATTTTAAAATCAGACATTTTTTAGAGCAACCTAATATATAACAGACAAATTAAAATTACGAGAATAAAAATGTTATTCTAAAATCGGATATTATTTTTCGAACAAGCTAATATATTACAACCTAATTAAAAGGTTTATACTAAAATCGGACATTATTTTCCGAGCAACTTAATATATTACAACCTAATTAAAAGGTTTATTCTAAAATCGGACATTATTTTGCGAGCAACTTAATATATTACAACCTAATTAGAAGGTTTATTCTAAAATCGGACATTATTTTCCGAGCAACCTAATAGTTTTAGAAATAAACAAAAAACGAAATCGTAGTTTTCTATAGGAGAATGTTGAGAACAGCATGGACGGAGCGCGTGAGTAACGAACAAAGAAGTCTTTCTGAAAACTAAACGAAAACAACACTTATACTCAGAATCTGGAACACGTGATTAGGAAAGACAGCTTTGAGAATTTGGCAAAAGGAACAGGGGAAGGCAGCGGGTCATTTAACTGACGAGCTTACATGAATGAAAAGCAGAGTGAATGATTTGATAAAAGGAAAAATGCTGCTAATAGTCATCAACTATTTGGAAGTCTTGGAGATCCTATATCGCCCATGCCCTGAATGGTCACAGCACATAGAAGTTGTTCGATAATTACAGAACTTTATGAGATGCAAAAGATTTCGATTTAGCTTTTTCCGTTTTTTTTTTCACTTATAATCTAAATAAAAAATCCTAGATTTTTCTTCTTTTAAATCCCTCCAGATCATGGCACTCCACGTCTTCCTGTTTTCTATTGTTCTTTTGAACCTTTACCATTACTCTTACCATTGTTCCGCATTCCATTCAAACAAATTTATTTATTAAATAGGTTATTTATGCGGAAATAACCCGCAGGAAAGGTATCAATCCATTATATTCCCAGCTATGGATTAAATAGTAGGAATTGTATCTAGAAAATCATTGTTATTCTCAAATAATTATTAATGCAATATTCACTCGCATAAAAGGAATTATTATCAAACCTGGACCTTCGTCGGTCTATGAAGTATGAGGCATTGTAATTATTTACATTATTTACATTGTCTAGACTGTTGCCCTAATTTTTATTACCATATTCACGACGTTTCGGCCATTGTACGCTGCGGCCTTCTTCGGGATTTTTTTCTATATTTCTTAGGTGAGCTATTGTAATTATTTACATTATTTACTTTCTCCAGACTGTTTTCATCTTTATTGCCATATTCACGGCGTTTCGGCCCTTGTATGCTCCGGCCTTCTGCGAAATCTTTCTATATTTCTGAGCTGAGCTATTGTAATTATTTACATTATTTACATCCTCCAGACTGTTGTTCTCATCTTTATTGCCATATTCACGGCGTTTCGGCCGTTCTACGCTCTGGCATGTTTCAGGATCTTTCTATATTTCTGAGATGAAGTATTGTAATTATTTACATTATTTACATTGTTCGAACTGTTTTCCTCATCTTTATTGCCATATTCACGGCGTTTCGGTCGTTGAGCGCTCCAGACTTCTTCCATTGATTGGAATTTCGAACTGAACTCTTTATTTCGTCCATCGATAATCGAGACATCCGGAAGAGGCATGACACGTGGAACCAGAATAATCTATCTTGGTGGACAAAATAAAGGGTTCAGTTCGAAATTCCAATCAACTGAAGAAGGCTGGAGCAGCATAGAACGGTTGGGACGTCGTGAATATGGCAATAAAGATAGGACAACAGCCAATGCAAATAATTGGAACTTCATGCCCACAAAAAGGAAGGTTTTTCCATTGACACCGCTATTATTTTAACTCGATCCGCTTGTCGGCAATGTCTATTGTTTTAAAAATCGATGATTAGAATTGAAATAAACCCTAAACATATGATGAAAATTAATTCATATTTTTTGTTCCTGTTATTTTTTAACTACAACATTCTAGAAACTAATTAAAACTAATTCAATGCAATATTTATCATTTAAAAATAATTAAGAAATAAATATGAAAAAGGATTTTATTGTTAAATTTATAAACATTTACTAAATTATTAAAATATGTGAGTCAACTATAAATAAATCCTTATTATTTATCATTTTATAAAGTTCAATTGGCAATTAGCCGATAATTTGCTAATTATTCTAATAAACAATCTAATAAATAAATAGCGTTTATTATTTTGTTGTCTATTTTTAAAGAAGATGTATAAATTCACTTTCTTATGTTAAAATTGTTTTACAATTCTAATCATCGCTTTTTAAGGCAATAAACATTACAGAGGAGTGAAGGTAGTTAAAATAATAGCGGTGTCAAGGGAAAACCATTATTCTGACGCGCCAATTTTTTTTTTCGTTTTTTTTTTTTTTCTTTTTTTTGCAGGCATGAAAGTCGAAGTTTGCCGAATTATTCTTACAATCCAGAGATATATTTTGGTTTTAAATAACCTACAAAGGGTTGATAAGCCGTAAAAACAATCAATCAGTTGCTGTTCTCCCTGCGTGTCTTGCTGTCAGTAAACCCTGTGCGTGTTAAATTAAGTACAGGTTCCCCTATTGTATCAAATAAAATTAAGCTTCCATATGCTCTCATGAGACAATCATTAACTACCACTTTCAACTACCATAGAATATTCAGTTTTTATATTCAGTATATATTTTTATATTCAGTTTTTTTTTATTTCTTCACCTTAGTGATTCGCTAAGCGTCTTCTTTTCTTTCACAAGTACACTCTACCCGCATTGAATGTTAATTTCGGAATTTATCAATCAGATCATGTCTGGTGATAAAACAATATTTTTTATATATATATATCGGAAGGAATGTTAACAGAAAGGCCAAAAGAACTGGACCGACAACAAAAATAAGCATTGTCCAATCAAAACGGTCCTGGGAGAATGGAGACAAGTGTTTAAAAAAGATAGAAAGATTGAAGTAATGTTGGCTCGGCTGCACGTATGCCTCACCCATTCATACTTTCTGAAGAATAAAAATCAACCAGCATGTACAGCATGCTAAACGGCACTCACGTTGAAACACATTTTAACTGAATGTAAACAGTCCTGGGTATGACGATAAACTACAACCGGCAGCAAAGAAAGAGTGACGGTTTTGAGGAGCGTGGAATCACCTCTCAATTGCTCTTGTTCGCAAGTATACTCTGATCCAGGATGGTAGCACTTGTTAGGGTCCCAGCTAGTGAACACCAAAACAAAAACAAAACACTATGAAAGTATAAAAATACGTTTTAATAGTATAAATACCAGCAATACATTTTTTATAAAAATTACTAACAATATCTATTTATAGTAAAATTAGCAGCAATACATCAGTCAACATGAAGGACCTTTTTCATGATATTAATCCATATAATATCCTACAATTTCGTAAAGAAATCAAACTGTATTCCAAAATATAACTTCAACAAAACTACTACATATAACACACATACCACCGCCTGTAGTAATTATATCCACACAAACATGTATATGCACAAAAGATGATTATCATCTACCATGTATTCAATTGTGAAAGCAGAATAACATGTAATGTATTTTTATTACTTCCAGGCACCCATGAAAATTAAATTTCGGCATGAAATGACCCATAGGAAATTGATATGCCGTCAAACAAACAACTCAAATCAAGCGAATGTACTTACTTAATCCCTATAAGACGTAAATACTACAAGAAAAATATATGAGAAATTATTTGAAAATACTTAAACCATCAACATAATTTCCAATCTTTAGGAAATAGATTTATACCAACACATATAACACCTAAAACACATCATGTACATACTATATATATATATATATATATATATATATATAAAACATACGGTCACCCGAAAAGAATAAAATGGTGTACAAAATATATGTAGTTGAAGGCATACAAGTGCGCTCAAAATGTGTTTAGCTGCAGGGATAAAATTGTTTACACTATTTAGATTGTTCGGACTGTTATCCTCATCATATTCACGACGTTTCGACCGTTGTACCCCAAGCAAGGCAATAAAGACACTAAGGAATTACCGAACCCTTTGTTTTTCCACCCAGGTAGATTGTTCTAGTTCCTCGTGCCATGCCACTTCCGGATATCTCAGTTTCAGTTATTCCCCATTAGTAACTCAACTTTAGAAGGTTTTGTTCACCTTTGCCGTGGCTAGGTTTTGAACTCACAACACTTTGGGTCAATGTAATACAGACAGATAACGACAAAACTGTGTTCAAAATGTTTAGATTTCGGCATTAAGCAACCCATGGAGGCGTTGACATGCCGTTGAACAAAATCAACCTAACGAAATCTTTTCTTACAAGTGTTGTGGGTTCCGAGATGAAATTCGGTCTCCAATGAATGACAAACGCAGAAATGAAATATAACAAATAAATGTATTTACACAATAATACAATTGGTAATACGGTTAGTAGATCCAGAAACGTGGTTAGTAGCAATATATATATATATATATATATATATATATATATATATATATATATATATAGAGAGAGAGAGAGAGAGTCTGGTAAACCAGTCTCAAGTAGGACTTCCTTAGAGTCTACGTGCTTGTAACTGTGACTTCTATAAGCGGTTACCTCACACTATTACTCTACCTCCAACTCAATCACAATCTCTGCTCTCTACTCTGACTGACTCTGGGTATTTAACCGCAGCAGTCCAAGTACACACTGGTCGAGTCCACTTGTATGAAAAAGGGGTGGACCCCATAACAACAAGCCTTCTTTTTGCCTCTTGGTTTCCATTCTAATTGGTTCCTCTGCTGCCATTTCTTCAATTCCCGTCTTACATTTTACCATTTTTTCTTTCACTTATTATTTTTATTTATTGTTTGATGACGCTTTCTTTTTTCTTTTTTCTTCCCTCTGTCTTCTTCCTTCAGTTTTTTTTTTATTTTCCTTTCCTTTTATCTTTATTATTTTATGTGATTCTTTTCCTTCTTTCTTGCCTTTTACTTTTGTTTTCTTTCTATTACTTGCTTCTTTACACATTTCCTTCCGGGTCCCAACCAGAGACCTAAGGTCAGAAATGGCTTCAAGACATTTTCCACTGGCCATTAAAAAAAAACATCACACACATTTTACATAGATAAAGCTCTTCGTAATGTGTGAGCTGTACATTTGAGTACAATTTCTTTAAGACATGGACGATCAGGAATCATTTCCTTTTTCTTTTTTATGTGACACTTTTAATTCCTTCCCGCCTTCTACATTTTTCTTTCTATTACTTGCTTCTTTATTTTTTTTATTTCTTCCACATTTATTTATAAGTTATTTATAAGACTACCATCCGTTCATACATTTAATATTGCTGTCGCAACTGGACTGGTGATTCTGCTATGTATTTAGATATTCTTGGTAAAATACAAAGAATAATCTGTAATGTTATTAGTCCTGATCAGGCATCTCGGCTTCAGTCAATTTCCCAGTGCCATAGCGTAGCCTTTTCTATATAATATATTTTATAGTAATTGTTCTAATTGTACCTTGACTTTACGAATTCAAGGACTGTACTAGATTGTTAGTTAGGTCCCATAATTTTACAGATGAAATGTCTACATGTAACTGCAAGTTCTATGCTAACAGTTTCTTTTTTCTCTCGCTCTTCTAGCTTGTGGATTTCTGGCCTTTTGCTTTCTAGCCAACATTAATCTCTATAAATGTAAATGCAATCTCAATCGCCATCTTCTGTCTTCTTAATTCCTATTTTTTATTCTTCTTTTTCCTTAATAATATTTTCTTTTTCCCATTTTCTCTCACACTCGGTAATTCGTTAGTGGCTTTATCGCCTTGCTTGGGGTGAAATGATTAAAAGCAGTTTACATATATATTCGTTTCTTTCTTTCTTTCCTTCATTCCATTCATCTTTACCTATCTCAGAAACATAGACATATGTAGAAAGAAAGAAAGAAAGAAAGAAAGAAAGAAAGAAAGAAAATATGATATGATGGAGGTAAGGAGGAATAGAAAGAAAGAAAGAAAGAAAGAAAGAAAGAAATGAATATATGCGTAAACTTCTTGAGGAGTAAACGGCCACATCTACGCCATGTTAAAAGTTTTTGTTGTAGATTCAATAGCAAATAAGTTTTGTTTTTTTGTTTTTTTCTACACGGTGGAGCTGCTAATCCACATCTAACCCGTTTTGAAATCAGAGTTTTTCTTTCTCCTAGACTGGTTGCCAACCAAAATAATTAAGACCAATCTGCTGGGAGGCGGATGAATTCATGCTTTTCTAACGGTATTTATGCGAAAGCAAAATGCATCAACCCCGACTAGAATTTGAACTCGACACACCAATTGTAATTTCTGCGTTGATAATTGCTAGGCTACGCATACATCCAAACATTTGAGTAGATAAAGGAAACAACAACAACAACAATAATAACACTAATAACAATAACAACAACAACAATAATAATAATAATATCTGTCTAGGTTCCTAAGATGCGGTATTGTAATTATTTATATTATTTGGACTTTTTTGCCATATTCACGAAGTTTCAAGTGATGGGAATTTCGAACTCGATTGTTCTAGTTCCACGCCTCTTCCGGTTGTCTCAGTTATCTCCCTTTAACACAACTCTCCAAATCTTTTTCACCACTGCAGTAGCCAGGTATTGAACTCACAACTTTTTGAGTCAAGTCACTAGATCCCGCCAACGCTTTTATCCTTGAGGTCGCCAGTCTCAGTATTAATTTTTTACTAGAGCTCATATTTCAATTTTCTTGTTCTTATTGCTTTTCTCTAGCACTCCGTATTACTGGTTCCCATATTGTTTTTATTTCTATGTTTGGCCGGCTTAGGAGATTTTTGGGGGGATAAGTATATGTGCTGATTCATTCACAGGGGGAGGTGATCTCCCTTTTACCTCCATACGTGGTGAGCTACGCCTGAGCATTTTTTTTATCTCCCCAGTATCTGAGATTCTTTCTTTCTTTCTTTCTTTCTTTCTTTCTTTCCATTCCACTTTATTTCTTTCATTCTTTCCACCTTATCTCATTCCTATACTTTTTCTTTCTTTATTTCTCCACTTTATCTTCTTTCTCCCCCTCTTTCTCTCTTTCTTTCTTTCTTTCTTTGCCTTTCACCTTATCTTTTTTCTGTCATATTTTCTTTCCTTCTGTCTTTCTTTCGATCTTACCTCGTTCCTATTTTCTTTCTGTCGTCTTTTCTTTCTTTCTTTCCTTCTTTCTTTCTTTCTTTCTTTCTTTCTTTCTTTCTTTCTTTCTTTCCACCTTATATCGTTCTCATCCTCTTTCTTTCTTTCGTTCTTTCTTTCTTTCTTTCTTTCTTTCTTTCCACCTTATATCGTTCTCATCCTCTTTCTTTCTTTCGTTCTTTCTATCATTCTTTCTTTCTTTCTTTCTTTCTTTCTTTCCACCTTATATCGTTCTCATCCTCTTTCTTTCTTTCGTTCTTTCTTTCCACCTTATATCGTTCTCATCCTCTTTCTTTCTTTCGTTCTTTCTTTCTTTCTTTCTTTCTTTCTTTCTTTCTTTCTTTCTTTCTTTCCACCTTATATCGTTCTCATCCTCTTTCTTTCTTTCGTTCTTTCTTTCTTTCTTTCTTTCTTTCTTTCTTTCCACCTTATATCGTTCTCATCCTCTTTCTTTCTTTCGTTCTTTCTTTCTTTCTTTCTTTCTTTCTTTCTTTCTTTCTTTCCACCTTATATCGTTCTCATCCTCTTTCTTTCTTTCGTTCTTTCTTTCTTTCTTTACATTTCCACTTTATCTTCTTTCTGTCACGTTTTCTTTCTTTCTTTCTTTCTTTCTTCCTTTCTTTCTAAGAGTAAAAAGTACATCTGTAATTGGGGCTGAGATTCATGAATAGAGGAAGACTATATAAGTAGTGTAAATGTTATCGGTCCTCAAATGGGTTCGGTGGGCCGACTTCAATTTTTAGCTTCAATCTTTTCTTTTTCTTCAAAATTACTTAAATCATCCAACCTTCTCGCTCTCTCACGCTCTCTCCTTCTTTCTTCCTTAATTTTTTCGCCATCTTTTATTGATTCCTCTTTTTTTCCTCTCTCTATTCCACCTTCTGCTTCCTTCATTTTTTTTTCCGAGTATTAATTCCTTTTTAATTTGCTCTCGAAGTTTCTTCTTTTCTTTCTTTCCTTAGTTTTATTTTTTCGCTTTCTTCTTCGTTTCTTTCGATTAGCTATTTTGCAATAGCAGGGTTTTGGTGAGTCATGAAAGTGTTGGTCACTCCGGTGAAAGTCATGTAGCGAAAAGGTCGATTAACGACAATTGATCTTTTGTCGAATGGGTTAGAAGGAGAAAGAAGACAAGAAAACCAAATACAACACAACTTCTGTAATTGGGTTTTGAGAGCTCCCACTTTATCCTGGCTTCGAATACAGAGAACGGGTGTACGTTTAAGTATAAGCTATCGATGCGTAAAATGGAATCAGCGTGAGGAGTTCAAATCCTTATCATCGTCCCTGCGTTCACTTTCGTACAGATACCCTCGGGGACGGTATGAATCCGTCTTTTCATCCCTACCAGCTATGGGTTAAATAACAGGATAGGCTGGAATGTCTCGTTTTGGATAGCATTTAGAAAGAAACTCTGAATTCCAAAGCCGTAGAGAAAGCAACACAAAACCACTCTATGTTCTCAAATAACTCATAGCAGTTTACAGATAATGGTTAGAGAGAACTGTGGAAAACTATGATCGCTTACGTCCTGAAGGGACATAGTGTTTTTAAAAATATATAGTGAGTAAGTGAGCTCGGATAAGTAGCAAGCTTTCACCGTGTTTGGGTTGAATAAAAGGAAACATTTCTTTATTTTCGATTTTTTTTTATCAATTCTGATCACACAGGAAGTCAGGGAAAGAAAAGCCGAATGGTAATGTTTCCCTTTGGATTCTCATTGGCTGCTTTTGGCATGTCTGATATTCAAAGCTATATAATCCTGTCGTGTATTTAAGTTCTTTTTTTAAGTGCCATGTGCCATCACAATTTCACAATCCTTCGAAACTGTTCGTAATAACTGTCTTTTTGCTAGATTTCCAAATCCCTCTTTTACTAACCATTTACAAAAGCTCGTTAGGTAAGTTGTGCACTGTTTTCCTCTGGACTCCTTACCTTCAATATATTCTGTGAGTATCAAATTCTCCACGTCCTCTTTCCCTTTATGCGCCCTAGAAATTTCAACTGTCTCTTAATGATGCTCCCTACGTGTGCTCGTCCTGGGTATGACGATAAACTACATCCTCGTCCAGGGTAAGACGTCCAAGAGCAAGGCCTCTGATCAGGAGGTTTTGAGGAGCGTGGAACCACCTCTTAATTGTAGAGTGTTCCTAGGTTCACCCTGCTTAGGTCGTAGCTATGGTCAAATAGTTAACCCCCAAACTGGGGTCAAAACACTCAGTCAGTTATGTGCCATCTTTAGATACATGACTAAAGAGGCAGATTTTTTTCCCGAAGAAGTTTGCCATTTTTTTCTGCGGTAGACCAGTTGCCATCCAAGGCTATAGAACCAATTGCCATGCAAGACTATATTTACCCATAGAGAAGAAAAGGATTCATACCTTTCCCAAGAGTATTAGCACGTAAGTGAATGCAATGGATTCGACTGGAATTCGAACTCGGCTCTCCGATTCCTCAGTCCGTGCCGCTATCCATTACTCCACAGTGTCAAAAGACTATGAAAGTGCGAAAACAGGTTTTAATACAAGAAATTATTACCAGCAATACATTATTTCCAGCCATACATTTTTGAAAAAATTACTAGCAACACAATTAAAAAAAAAAAAATATTACCAGGAATACATTTATGAAAAAAAAAACTCACCAGCAATAAAAATTGTCGGCTTTAAATAACACATTGAGGTTGATATGCTGTAAAACAAAGCAAACAGAACCTACGTGTCTTTTTTATTTTCATTTTCTCAAAAATTTCGACATTGCTCACATGTTCACTTCGTGGTAATCTCAGCATCCTACTGTAGAAGCACATTATTGTTGCTTCAAACTTCTTCATCTGTGATTAAGCTCGTTAGGTAGGTTATTCACTGATTTTCACAGGCACTCTTCCTTTCAAAATGTCCTATGAGTGTTACAATATCTAAGCCTTTTTTTCCTCAGTATGTGCCCTAGAAATTTCAATTGTATCTTTAGGATGTTAAGTATAAGTGTCCTTTATGTTTCCATTTTCTCCAAAACGTACACGAATAGTGAACCTCCAAACAAAAAACAACTGTACATGTTTATAATAAAATGAGCAACAATACATTTTTGTAGCAAAATGACTTTCAATGCAACACTAAAATAAATTAAAAATACATTTTACAGTAAAATTACCAACAATACATTTTATCATCTAGAAAATATATATCTAAAAACATAGCTTTAACATGAAAATATAAAATTATGTACAAAATCAGTAGTTGAAAGCATAAAATTACATATAAAATAATTAAATTTTGGCATTAAATAACCCATAGACGCTGATATGCCGCTAAACAAAATCAACCAATCCAAACCGATTAAAATATTTAGATTTTGGCATGAAATAACCCCTAGAGGTTGATATGCCGCTAAACAAAATCAACC